AATTAACACCTTAGCATACAGTTTACCCACAATACTAAGCAAGCTGATACCGCGGTAGTTTTTGCAGTCCTGCTGTGACCCTTTTCCTTTATATATTGGTACTATAACTGTTTTACACCAGTCATCCGGTACCCGTTTTAATTCCCAACATAAATTAAACAAGGTGTACCTGCCACCACTCCCTCTCCAGCCCTTAGCATCTCGAGTGATACTCTATCATATCCAGCTGCCTTACCTGCTTTCATGCTTTTCATTGCTTTCATTATTTCATCTACACTTATCTCCATACCCCTTTCCACTTCTTTCGGAATTTCTAGTTCATTTAATTCATACGACTCTTCACTCATAAACACGCTTTCAAAGTATTCCTTCCATCTGTTTAAAATCGAAACTTCATCATTCAGAATACATCCATTCTCGTCTCTTATAGCATATATATATATATATATATATATATATATATATATATATATATATATACATATATATATATATATACATATATATATATATATATGTATATATATATATATCTAATAAAAGGGTTTCGCTTTCACACATTTATAAAAAAGGGAGACACACGGCTCCCACACACGCCATGCGTGGTGAGCGCCAACCACTTAATACGCTCCCCCCGAAGGGACGCTAATTTGGGAACTGGACCGTAATAACCGGACCACAGCAAAATAACTGGTGAACCAGTAAAAGAGGGCTTGGCACCTTGGTAGTGCGTAGTCACAAACATCGCCGAAGTCGCGCATGTCAATGCGTGTAAACGCCATACAGAATACGAACAAATGCAACCACAGTGAATGTACGTCACACGGTTTAGGCAAATAGGCACACTGGCCATAAACCCTCCGTGAGCGCTACTAACTGCCTGACCGCCGCTCCTGCAGACGTGATGTGAATGTATGGCATCACCAACAATTGCATAATTAGCACGGCCACTAGCTACCATCCGCACGTGGTAAACACATATACTCCACCAACCAATACAACGGCAGATATAGCCAAACCGCAGTTATAATATAATAGTAATAATTTGCCATCAGAAGGGGTTTGTGTCACTAACGTTGAGTAAATGCATTTTCGATCATGTTTGTCTCACCCACCAACAAGTTGCCTTCATAATGATTTCTTATATTTACGCGAACACTACTCATTGAAATAATACTAGTTTTTACGGAATTTATCGCGTATATTTAACTTATATTTAACATTTTAAATACCGTTTCGAACGCTTTACAGCACTCATGGTCACGGGCGGGACTGAGATGTTCAACGTCCATATGTCATAGTTAACCGCGGTTACCATAGATTAAAATTTAACTTTTGTTCCGATCTATACAGTATGAACTTATGGTATCTTGAAGTCTTGCAGTTGTATGCTTGGGTTGGGATTTAATTTTATTTATTATCGGATCCCAAGCAGATGGTAGCACCCAGCCATCTTCACTATTGAAATTAGCATGTTTTTTGATTTCAATAGCCTCGCGAATCATCCTTGGAAGGAATCGGTGTTCTTTAGCGAGGATTTGCGGTCTATCAAATCTGATGTAGTGACAGGGGCGATCCTGTACGTGTTCACAGACTGCAGACTTCCCGGAGCGTCGATTCTTCACATCAGCTATATGTTCTTTATCGCGGGTTTTTATTGATATTTTAGTTTGTCCTATGTAGGAGAGACCACATTCATAATCAAGCTTGTACACTCCTGCGTCTTGCAGAGGGACATTACACTTGACTGATGGTAAAAACTGACCAATCTTCTTCAGCGGCTTGAAGTATGTTTTGATGGAAGCAGGCTTCAAGATGTAGCCAATCTTGTCAGTGACTCCTCTAACATATGGCAGTACAGCAGGTACACGCTCGACTGTGGCCGGCTTCACTCGTTCACTGTGACGTAGGCGGGGGACTCGAAGCTTGTTGTAATACAAAACTTGCTTGATATAGTGGAGCTCGGCAGCCAGGTGTTTACTGTCACAGATCCCTCGTGCTCTCTGAAACAAAGATTTACCCACGGTAGCTAACTGTGAAGGATGGTGGTGAGAATCACCGTTTAAATATCTATCTGTATGGGTCTTTTTTCTAAACACAGTATGGCTCAAGGTGTTATCAGGATTCCGAATTACTAAAACATCTAGAAAAGCTAAGGAATTGTTTGCCTCTAACTCCATTGTGAACTGAATTTTAGAATTTATAGAGTTAAGATGGTCTAAAAATGCAGTTACTTTATCTAAAGGTAGAATTGTGAGTGTCGTCTACGTACCGCTTGTAGAATCTTGGATTTATGGGAGAACTAAGCAGGGCTTTCCCCTCAAAGTCTTCCATGAATATGTCGGCGACAATGGGAGATACAGGTGAGCCCATCGCCACACCATCTACTTGTTTGTAGAACTCCTCCTTCCACAATAGGTAGCCAGATGTAAGGCAGTGTCTGAGTAAAACTGCATATTCTACGGGCATGTTGTTTTCTTCCAGCCTTCTAGTTACAATTGAGATGCAGTCTTCAACAGGTAAGCATGTAAACAATGACTGCACATCAAAACTGACCATAGTTTCATTGTCTGCCAGATGTAGGTCTTTAATCTCGCTGACAAAATGGTAGGAATCCTTTATGTGTGCTCTTGTATGTCCCCTGAGCGGTGAGAGTATTTTCGCTAAGTGTTGAGCCAATCCGTAAGTTGGTGAATCGATTTGGCTCACTATGGGACGTAATGGAACAATTTTTTGAGAATCTGTAATAATCTACCCACTATTGTTTCTTATAGATTCAATTTTAAATTTTGTATTTTGACGTTTTTTTTTTTTGTCCTATCTGCTCATTTATAATATTCCACGATTATTTAATTTTATTTTTGCCTCCTTAATCCTGTTACGATATTGTATTTTTTTGCGGCTATCATTGTTTTAGGAATAATTTCTTATATTTTTTAATGCTTCGCTTAGGTAATGTTTCTATGCCTAATATAGTCCATTTTTTGAGTTTGCTTCTTATTTATTTATTTTTATTTTTGAAAAACCCATGTTGTAATAATGATGCAACACATCGTGTAAAATTCTCATTCTTGTGTTCGCGTCTTCAGTCATTATAATTTCTGATTTAATCGCATTGTAATTTTTATTAAACAAATAATTAAAGTAATCAAAATTATTCCTTGAAAAATTTCTGCTTACATAAATTTTACATTTATTGTTAATTTTTTTTAGATTAACTAATTCACAATTCATTTCACAATTCACAATTCATTTCAAACTATAGTTTATTCAAGTCGTTCCTAATTTTATATTCGAAAGTACTTTTCACATATATCGCCGTTCCACCGTGTTCAAAAACTATTCTATTAAAACAAGTCGCGAGTGTATAGTTTTCAATAGTCATCGCTTGTATCTGACAGTTTTTACCCCACGTCTCCGTCAAACACAACACATCGCAGTCCTATTCACTAGCTAAGCTTTCGATCTCTAATTATTTTTTATGTATGCTTCGAACATTGGCATGAAGATTTATCGTTTTTGAATCGGTTCTTGCGTTGTTGAAAAATTTGTACCATTATCACTTGAGGAAGTGTGTTCGTTTTGGCATTTGATGAAACACAGTGAAGATGATCCTTGAAACTTGCGGTCTATACTTGTTACTACATTTTCTATGATGAAGTTTTTCAATAATTTATAATTCCTTGTATTTTTATATATAATATTCGGGTCCAGAAATTTGATATTTTCGCTGACTTTAGCTATGTTAACTATCTGGTTGTTAATATGGTGAATCTCGTTGTCATTTTTGCCATTATAACGCAAACCAGTGATTATCATTGAATAAAACTAAATTTACGGATTTTATCGCGTTTATTTCACTACTTTTACTTATTTTTAATTCCCGACGTTTCGGGTGCTTTACAGCAACCATGGTCACGGGAGGGACTGAGATGTTTGACGTCCCAATGTCATAGTTAGTCCGGCTACCTTCAGTTTTTGAATATTAATTTTCGGTCCGATTTACGCAAAACGAGCTTATAGTATCATGAAGTCTTGCAGTGGTATGCTTAGCTTGAACATGTTCGCAGACTGCAGACTTCCCGAAGCGTCGGTGCTTCACGTCTGGGAAGTCTGCAGTCTGCGAACATATTCAAGATCGTCCCCACCATTACATTCGTTTTGATAAACCACAAATTCTCGCAAAAGAACACCGATTCCTACCAAGGATGATACGTGAGGCTATTGAAATTAAAAAACATCCAAATTTCAATAGAGAAGATGGATGGGTGCTGCCACCTGCTTGGGATCCTATAATTAACAAAATTAAACCCAAACCTAAGCATACCACTGCAAGACTTCATGATACTATAAGGTCGTTTTGCGTAAATCGGACCGAAAATTAATATTCAAAAACTGAAGGTAGCCGGACTAACTATGACATTGGGACGTCAAACATCTCAGTCCCTCCCGTGACCATGGTTGCTGTAAAGCACCCGAAACGTCGGGAATTAAAAATAAGTAAAAGTAGTGAAATAAACGCGATAAAATCCGTAAATATAGTTTTATTCAATGTGTAGTGTTCGCGTAAATTTAAGAAATCATTAAGTGATTATCATGTTAAATTTCCTACAAGGCTGGTTTAAAATATCGTTCAATAGTTTTATGTACTTTTGTTGATTATGATAAAGAGAACTTTCATATTTAGTGATAAGTACTGCTACTGTATCTTTTTTTTCGAGACCTTTAATCTTTTCGCCATAGTTTTCTAATATATTGTAAAATCCTGCGTCCGGTTTACAGTTGTTAATTGCTTGAAATTCAGTTTTTTCTATTATCTTTGACGCCAATACTTGTCCGATACTATCCTAAAATATTACAATGCAATTGTTTTTTGGCTTTTGTTTAGTTTTATCATTGTATAATCTTGATTTATTTAGTATTATAGGCATGTTTGTTTTCTCTACTTCTATAGCACTACAGTTTGACTCATCTATTTCTATTGATCGGCTTTGTCCAAATTACTTATCTTTTTTCTTTTCCTTGGTATTTCGTTTTGTGAGAGATGTGTATTTTTTGGGTGTGCTCATGGCTTCAGTAACCAGTTTCTTCCATTTTACAGTCAGCGTTTCCTTTTCTAAAATTTGCTTTTCTAATTTTGTATTTTCCATGTTCAGATTTTCTATTTCATTGTGAGCTTTTTCTAATTCTAATTTCAAATGGGCGATTTCTTTTAACAACTCTTCCTCTCTGTCATTTTGATAAGTACTAATATTTGGCAGTCTATGTAGGTCATCATCAGAACTATTTGATTCTTCTTCTTCAGACTTATGCAATGGCGTTACTGGAAGTGCCTTATGCCTAGTGCTTCTTTTTGTCACGTTAGATGAACAGGGAGTGTCGGAGTTTTCACTCGCTATTGGTAGCCTTGCTTTGCAAGTTTGGCATTTCCAGCTTTTCTTTTTTAATTTTTCCATTATATTAACTTTGGTGCTCAATGCTTGTGCACACGTTATACCGTAAAAATTTTTGAAAGATGTACAACAAATTATATCTTTTTTTAATTATTTTCTTTTGGCACTTAAAACAATTAGGGTTGACAATTTTCTGAGCTATTCTTTTATCCATATTTTGCTCTAAATAATAAAGTAAAACAGTAATAAAGAAAAAAAACAATGTAAAAATCAATCAGCTGCGAGATTTGAACAATAACTACCATCATGTAAGGCATACAGTGTGCAGTTTGGGGCGACCGATATAATGTTTTGAGTCGCATTACAGTCCTTTACTAATGAGTCTTATTATTCACACTTCGTTGCAATGTTAAATGATATTTTATAAAAAAAATATGAGGGTATACAGAAATCATATTACCGTTTTAAATAATTTCACTATGTTACTGTTACAATTATTGACACAGTTGCCGTAGTTCATTACAGTTATTTAACACATTGATAGTTTTATGAACTTTTATTTGTTGTTTAGAGCATTAGTTTAGTTTTGCCATATTCTATTCTACAATTATTGACACAATTGCCGTAGTTCAAAATAGTTATTTAACACGTTAATAGTTTTATGTACTTTTATTTATTGTTCACCGCAATTTTAGAGCATTAGTTTAGTTTTGCCACTTAAACACTTGTCATTCAAATACTGTTTATGTTTATTTGCATGACGTTCCATTCAGTTATAATAGAAGGTAACACCTTCACTAATTATTTTCATCTAAATTTACACACTCTACTCATTTATTTAGCTAAATTTTTGTAATTTGTTATTTTAGAGCACAGAACCGATTCAATCGCGACGGCCGTGCGCCTCGTACCATCACGTGACACGGAGGTCGGAGTTAATGGCTTACATTTAGAGAATTTAAAAGGCAACTTTTCTTTAAATACAAGATTTACTGATAAGTTTTTGGGGTTAAGATTGCTCTGTGAAACAGAAGCTCTATTTTCTTCATCACTTAAGCAAATAATTTGTCCAAATAAGTTGTCTTGTGTCCCTAATGTGAGTATCTATTGTCAAAATGCTTATAAAATACTCACAAAAAGCTCACTGGTTCCGCGAGTAGTATAATTTCATACATTAATTTCATACTTTATGGTTGTAAGAACGAAGAACATATAAATATTCCTATAAAACAGAACTAAATCGTTCTGTCCCATAAACAAAATTTATATTGCGCTTTTATTACGCTATTTTTTATATGATAGGGTCACAAACTAGCACACTGTCCACCTGATGGTTGGTGGTGGCTGCGGCCCATAGACATTTACATCCATCCTCGATTACAAATCAAAATGCAGATGCGTTGTCACCCGTAAAGAACTAAGATGGAATGCCTTGTTTACAGAAAAAAAGGGTCTCCGGTTCTCTACACTCACCATACGAAACACAGGAGCATTAAGCTACTATTTTACGGTGGTATTCTTGAGAGCGTGGACCTTCCTAGGTCGAGCCGACCCATTCGTGCTACAACTATACTACTAATATAACTGCAGCATGGCTCTACCACATATAATGACGTATGAATATTCATATAAAATAGAACTGAATGCCTCGTGTTGAATGAATCGCAAGGCAGATATGTAATGTACAGACTACAGATTTTTGTTCTGTCATATACATAGATTTTTATATTGCGTTTTAATTACCTTTACCCCCACTGACCACCACTATTATCAATGACTGTATGTGATAAGATTTTTAATAAATAAATCAATTTGAATTTGACATACATATTAAGTTAATTAAGAAAGTATATATACAGGCGCTCATTCTGTATCATACATAGATTTCACAATTGACGTTTTTATTAATCTACTATCTAAGTCCTATTTAAATGCATATACAACATACACATATTTATATATAAAAACCACTCACCTCCCACCAGTCTTGCTAAAACTCAAAAACGGATAGACCGATCCTGATCAATTCCCTCGTGTGTGCCTGTATGGGCTCCACCATGGCCCGGACCGAGACGTGGACCCGGCAGGTGATGCCGCAGCCGAAATCCAGAAACCAACCACGCGAAGCCGGGGCGGATTCCCTGTTACATATATAAATACAACATACATATTACGTTGATTGAAAAAGTATATACGTTATTTACAGACGTTCGTTCTTGTCTCATATATAGATTTCAAATTTCGCATTTTTTATATCTACCCCACAACTTAAATAAATGTTATATACATTGGAATTGTCCTAAATGTTTATGACTGGTTTAATAAGTTTTCTCATTTTTACTTCCAACAAAATCCAGAAATCTCACTTAAAAAAAATCAATTTCATTTTTTTTATCTTGAAAAGGTGACTTGCTGATTCGGCACAAAAGATTCACAATGACATGAGATGTATAGTGTTGCCAGTGGGAGCTACTCAAAATAATAAGAAAGTGTGATTGTCAACTCGCTTGCAACTATCCCCCATATGAGGTCTATGTCTAGGGGGCGTGTGTATAGCTGTGGACTATTGCTACATTTTAAAACCATGCCATGTGCAACTAAAAAGGCCGTACTGACAATTTATAATATGAACTATAAAGAGTCCCTGAGTTTATTTTTTTATATTTCGTATCTATTTTAAGCATCTAAAAAAAATATTAAATAGATTGGATTATATAGCGATACAAGGCTTTTATGTAAAAATACTGTAATCGAATATTTTTCAAGCTTTCCCCTCAAGTTTAAAAAAGCATGCAAAGCACCATAAAAATGTACGCAACTCCGCAAAAAAAATGTTGATCTATAATAATTATTTTTTCCTATTAACTGGACCATATGGGATTAATTATGGATAGATAAGGATACGAACGCCAGAAATATATGAATTTTAAGGAGGGTAAATTAAGAAAAAAATCATTATATAAAATAAACTAGATGGCGCCAACAGGTGGTCTGTAAGAAAAAAGCAGTTACTTCTTAACGAAACGAAATTTTGGAATATGAACTTGTTTACTTTCCAACTAAAGCCATAAAGTTTTCGATATTTTTTTTTTCAGAAACCGTTGTCGCGTCCTATAAGTAAGTTTAATGTTAATTTCTTTGTTGGATTTTATTCACACCGGGCTGTCGTTATCTAAGCGTTCAATCGTACGTTAAAAATGCATGTTTTTACTATTCTAACTGTAAGCCTAATTAGTTTAATGTACGACTGATTAATATTATTCTATATATCCTAGAATTATTATACCTCTAAATCTAATATAAAGATGCTGTATTGATTGTAATAAGTAGCAACAGGTAGGCAGATGTTAAAGTGTAAACAGTTTTGATTTATAATGAAATATATTACATTGTTAATCTAAATGATAATAATTAAATGTATTATTAATTATCAACTAATTGTGGATGAATAATCGTTTGTTAATAACTATTATATTAATTTAAGATAGTGTATTGATAATCGAAGTAAATGTCATATCGGACAGTCGTTGCGATAGGCAATCATCGCGTGGCCGTTGTACAAGAAACAGGTGAATTTTGTGATTAAAGTGCTGTGGAGATATTACTGGATTTTATTTTCTGGAACACTTCTGAGGCTATCCCAATATCTCAGAAGTGGGATCAACGAAAAGTATTACTCTTTTCGACTTACGCCTACGAGAAAAACGTAAGTACCTACATTTATTTGTATTGTACCAACAACGTAATTGTTTGATTTGAATTTTTGTAGCGTGAAAAAAGTATGTAAATCAAATATTACCACTACGTAATTACGACGAATTCGAATTGAGGTTATTTATCTCCTGTTTGAAGTTGTAATTATAACTAATTGCGAGTTGGCTAGAAAGTTTACCGTAAATAAGAGTATTTAACAACCAAACATAGTGATTCACAATAAGATAAATAAATGTAATTATCATTTAACTATTTGGCGCTTGTGTAAGTACCCACGCTTGTCGAAAGTAACGAGTACTGTTTTTTTTTTATATATAAATAGAATTTCGGTGCTTGCTGTACAAAGCAAGTAATACAAATATTTTGGAAAGCATTATTTATCGTTGCTCGCGATTGGTAAGAGTACTGGGGTCGATTGTTGCAGTCGAAGAGAGTAAATGTGTTCTCTTTTTTTCCTCTCTTTTTCTCCCTGTGTCTGAAATGATTGCGTATTTCGAGATGAACATTGTGTGGTGTGCTACGGTGGTAGTAACAGTACTATGTGAGAAAGACCAAGCCTGATCAGGAGTGATTCAGTTACTATTACCGAAAAATATTAAAGAAATATAAGTACACATAGCTGCATAAACTTAATCTATGTTAATGATGTTAAAAATAATGGTTTACTAAGCTATCGTCTGTCAGTTTCAGTGCTCGACATGGAGAGAGAAAAGAGTCAAACCCGAGATTATAGGACTCTTAGTCCAGGCCCAGGAGTACCCAGGTTTGAGGGTCAGAGTCGGGAAGCGGTAGATTCGAGGCGTGAGTCTAGCCACGCAACTTGGCCAAGAGTACCCATGTATGAGGGTCTAGCTAGGAGGACATGTTCGGAACAACCAGGGCTATCACGGGTGCGTGATACTGAGGTTGATAATAATTATGACAATATTGACGGAGAGCGTCAAGGACGAAGGGTGCTTCGTCCACAAAGGGCATGTTTGGAACAACCAGGGGTGTCACGGGTGCGTGATACTGAGGTTGATAATAATTATGACAATATTGACGGAGAGCGTCAAGGACGAAGGGTGCTTCGTCCACAAAGCGTTAAGGAGAGATTTCTTCGCACACCTTCGAGGTCAAGATGTAGCCGTTCATCGAACGATGGATCCTATAGCCGTGAGGGTACCAGAAAGAGAAGTACGAATCGACGAGGTAGGAGAGCGGAGGACGATAAGGATTCAAGGTCGGGTTTTAGTCGTGACCGGAGGAGGAGCCATCACCTTGAACGAGGAGATGAGGGTAAGCAACAAATGTCACCTACTTATAAGAAACCTAGGAGTGTAGACTCCACTGAGATTATTTTAGATAAA